CCCAGGAGAGCGGAGGAGCGCCGCGGCGCAGCCCCCCTCCCCCCCAAAACTCAGGCCCGGAGTGCGTTTTAATGCGCGCAATTAAACACACGTACGGGTAGGGTTTATATTACTGTATTGAGACCGTCAATAACTTAAAAATACAGCGAGATGTGCGAGGGGTTTTTGTTTTTGTTTTGTTTTTTACACGTTCTGTTTGGTTTGCACTCGTTAGACAATCTCTTTGTGTCTAAAATAGCCAGGAGGGGACAGTGCAAAGAGAGCGGCGGCGGGACGCAACGCTAAGCGCTGGGATGGGTCTGGCTGCCGAAAGCGCGTACTGACCAAAAGATGCGGCACGAAACCAACAGTGGCAAATCTACCCCTTACTGCAGTCTAGGGGAAAGACTCTTACAAAAAGTACAGTTAGAAATAGTAACCCTGAGGAACAGAAACAAAAAAAAAGTCACATTATAAAGAACTCAAAGGGTTATTTACATTCACAAACTCAAGATTAAATCCTTTTGGAGAACAAAGCCTATAAGCGCTAATGCTGAATAAATACCAAGTCTAGTTCTCAGGTAGTTTTCAAAAATCAGAAGACTTTTTTCATACCTCCTGACTACAAAATCTGGTATACAAAAATTATGTTCAATCACTTTAAGGCTAATATACATTTAATGCAGGAAAACGACAGGCAGCATCTGAAATGCAAATATCTCGACGTTTAAAAAATATTAACTTAGGATTTATCCAGAAAACATCAACTAAGAGATCATTTCTCAAAGAATTCCTAGCCAGAGCAAGATTTTGGACATCAAGTCTACACACATTTAAATAATGTATTTACAGTTCAGTTGTTCCATGTACAATATGATTGATCTGGTTTTTATTGTACAGTCCCATTTTTCACCAGTGGTTTACAATATATAAAATAGTATTCGATCCATTAAAAATACATACAAAGAATTGTTTACTGAAGACACCATGTACAAGCCATCTTTTGCATTTATCTTCCTTTACTCGCTCAAACAAACGTCCTAACCAATACCACGGTTTGCTTAGTAGAAATAGTGGCTAAGAAATACCTCTCGGCATGATGAGATAGGAGTTGATTTAACAGACCTATGTGTGCTGGGACATACCATTCACTAAACTCCTAAGTTGCTTCACTACGGTCTCTATTAGCTTCTGCTTGTCCCGATCATTCTTCCTGAACTGAGCAAAAATGTTGTTCTTTTTGCTAGTGTCTTTCATGCTGGAGGGGGAAAAACAAAAGCCAAACGACACGGACACATTAGAAACATAATTTGAGAAGGAAAAAAATCTGCCATTTAAATAGGTTTACTTTCGTTCCTCTTTTGATCTTTGTGTTAATAAGAACTGAAAGATTACAAAAGCTGTTATCTATGTGTTCTTAAATTAAACTTCCGCAATACGGAACTCGTTTTAACAAATATGACTTCATAAATCGCCTGTAAGTATTAAGCAAATATCCCTTTAGCAGGAAATTGGCCCTACCAATTGCGCGAGGAGAGAAGCAGAACAGAAAATCCCTTAGTACCATCTACTTCCATGGCAAGTCCAGGCTCACTGAATGAGTGTTTTCTTCAACAAAATTACCCCAAACCGTTATTGCTAGTCTCGAGGAACAACGAATTTAAAAATGAAATTCGGGAAATAAATTTTTTTTTAAAGTACATTTTATAATATATGGGATACATACCCTCTGTGAACTCTGCAAAATGCATATCCATCGCAGGCAAGAGAGGAAAGAAAATACAGTTAGAAAAATGCCTTTAAATCACAGCACATTTTAGTTCGGTTTTATAAAGCAGGTTGATACTCGGCCGGGCGGAAACGCGCCTTCTTTTAACCTGCTCATCCAAACCTACCGCTCTACACTTGTGATAACGAAATCGCACGCGTTTTTCTCTTTTAAAGCGGCAGCTTGG